GGTTGTTGTTGTGGTTAGGTGCCACTGAGTCACTACCAACTCATACCAACCACATGGGCAACAGAACACAACACTGCCCGGTCCTGCACCAACTTCACAATCAATCATTGCTACGCTACAGCCCATTGCTGCTGCCAGTGTGCCAATCCATCTCATTGGGGGTCTTCTTCTTTTTCTCCAGCCCTCCATTTTGCCAAGCATGATGTCCTTGTCAGGGACTGTTTCCTCATGATAATATTTCTGAAGTAAGAGACACGAAGTCTGGCTATCCTGACTTCCAAGGAGCATCTAGCCATACTTCTTCCAACACAGACTGTTTTGTTCTTTTGGTAGTCATGGTACTCTTAATACCTGAAAAATCATTTGATCTGGCCATGCTAAGACAACCACAGTGCCAGCCATCACACTGTCACTGCTGTTAAGTGTTATCGAGTTGGTTCTGACTCATAGAGACCCTGTATAGGTTTTCCAAGGAACGGCTGGTGGGTTTCAACCACTGAACTTGCAGTTCAAACTGACTTTGCAGTCCAGTGCATTATCCTGTAGTGCCACACCAGGAATCTCTTGCTGTCGTTAAATGCCATTGAGTCCATTCTGACCCACAGAGAACCTGTATAGGATTTCCAAGGAGCAGCTGATGAGCTACAACTGGTATCCTTGGGATTCATATAGACTTTGCAGTCCAGCATATTATCCCACAGCACCACACCAGGAAGGGTGAGTGAGTTAAATGTTTGACCAAACATAGCAGACTAATTTTTAAATTGATAATTTTGTATGGAACCATGAATGACGTTATACATTTTGGCAAAAATGTTTCCACACCCCTGTTACAGGGTTTTCATAACTGTGACCTTTCAGAAGCAGTTTCCCGGCTCTTTCTTCAGAAGCACCTCTGAGTGGTACAAACCACCAACCTTTATGTGCATAGTCAAATACTTAACCATTTGCTCTACTCAAGAAACCAGATAACTAGCAGTGAAGTCATTTTAAACACAATAGTGAAAGGTACTAGGTTAAACCATATACTAAATGTCCATTAGGACAAAGGCATGGTTTTGCATATGAGCTAACACCGAGGGAGGAACATACAATCTTTTTGTGGCTATTCTAATGCATAACTTTTTTGAAAAGGGGGAAAAAAGAATAATGCCATTCCAAAAACGCTGGGGTACCCATATGAGAGACCCTAATGTAGCAGGCATTAATCAGACTTGGGAGAATCACCACTTAAACAAAGACCTCAAGTCGAATTTTGAGACAAGAAACAGAATTAGACAAATCTTTGTGAGTCCTGAAGGTCACAGTGGCCTTCTAAATCCAAAAATGAAAGTACATGAGTTACCAGGCAACTTACTGCTCTTATTATTCCTTTGGCGATCAATCTTTTCAGCCACTTCTTGTGACACAAGTAAAATTAAATAGCAAAAGGCAAGGAAGGGTTATAAGGTACTAATTGAGAAAGGTAAAACCTAGTCACAGAAACTTTAAATGCTATTTTCTCAGAAGGCTGTTGTTGCTAACGATATAGTACCTCATCTTTCTTCCATGGAGCAGTGGGAAGGTTTGAACCACTGACTTTGTAGTTAGTAGCCGAATGCCTAATCCATAGTGCCACTAGCACTCCTTGTTTATACTTCACTTGGACTAAACTAGGAACTCTGTAGTCATCTATTATCTTCATAATTTGGTTCTAGGCCCATATTTGCAAAGCCAAAAAGGATGGGGCAATGCAAAACCCCTGCCTCTGAATCCAGTATGTTTATATCTAAGATTTCCACTGAACTCTTAGCTATAAGTCAGGTGCTGAATAAACGCTAGTGGAAGGTAAGAAGTTTCTGTGGCTGCAATTTTGTAATTTACTTAGGCTAATGAAGTCCTTACAGTCTGCTAGAGTTTTTGTCCTGCTAAATTTTACACACTCAATTGCTTTTTACAGTAAGAAGCATTACTTGTATTTGAAATATTTGCTTGTCAAAATCCTCAGTCAATTGAATTTGCATAAAAATAGAAAAAAATCCATTCCATTCCAACTAGTGATCATAATGATAGCCATCTAGATTCACCTATTGATGGCATTTGTCCCCAGAGTTCTAGTAGGAAAGAATGAGAAGAGCAAGGAGAAAAACAGCAGATGTCTGGAGCAGAGAGGCTGTAGCTGTAGTTAGAAAATAAGAATGAGAGTTTGGTATATAACCCTCCCCATCCCTCTCATCTCCCCCCACCCCACCCCCCCGACAAGAAAATCCGACTGTCTGGTGACAGTCTAGAATAAGAACTGGACTTCTAACTGCAAGGTTGGTGGTTCAAACCAATAGCTGCTCCTCAGAAACACTACGCAGGGACATTATGAGTCGGGACCAACTCGATGTCACTTAACAACAACACTGATCCTGAACTTTGGCCAATGATACGTTTAGAAAATATAATTTGAGGAAAGGGGTAAAACGTGCTAGCTTAATTGGGCTTGCCTTCTTCCTTCTGCCATGAGAGCTGCCTATAAGGTCAAAACAAAGAAGGAAGAAAGGCACACAGAACAAATTCAAATTCAAGTGCAGCTGAGTATAGTACAGATGAGCAAAGTCTGGTTAGCCAATCCCCATCCAAACCATAGACACAAGATCAAGAAATAACACTTAAATCATTGAGTGTTCACCAGTGTTATCAACTAGACATTTGTTTGATTGCAGCCCTACAGCCTATTAAGTTTGCAATGTTGGCGAAATTATCTACTCTTTATGAGTCCTGGTTTATCCTAATTAATTAGGATAACTATTACTGTAAGAATTAAATAACACAAGGGATAGAAAGCAAACTAAGATTTCAGGGATTATTTTGTATTGATATTATTTTTTTCACATGCTCAAATATCATTTCTGTAACTATTTCTAGGAGGAATAGGATGACACCCTTAAAAACAGAGATATAGATTTACACTCTACTGTGTCAAACAACAAAACTGTGCCTCCAAGTGAGAGTTGTTGTTGTGAACTCGAGTCGATTCTGACCCATAACGACCCGGTATAGGGTTTCCAAGGAGCAGCTGGTGCGCTTGAACTGCCGACCTTGCAGTTCAAACGGCTTTGCAGTCTGGCGCATTAACCACAGTGCCACACCAGGACGTGAGAGTGGAGAGGAAAAAATCAACTTTGTCAGCACCCAGCTCTTCTTCTTTCTAAGAATGGAATGATCTATCCATCACAGTTCCACACTACACATTTGTGTATTTAGCACATTTAATGCAGTCCATTTTCCTCACAAAAGAGAACCTATATAAAGTAAATATACTTCTTAAACATTTCAATTCAAAGAAAAACAAATAATACTTCAGGTGTCTTTTGTAGGAATACTGAGGATGCCAACTGGACATAGAGAAAGAATGGAAAACAGGGACGGTGACTAATAAACAGTGAGAGTTGTCTTTTTCCAAACATGTATCACAATTTCATAAGGCTAATAAGGGTGCTGGAGTGGCACTGTAGGATAAGCACTGGACTGCTAACTACAAGGTCGGCAGTTCAAACCCACCAGCTGCTCCTTAGAAACCTGATGCAGGGTCAATATGAGTCAGAACTGACTTTACAGCATTTAGCAACACTACAATAGCATGTTTTTAGTAATTTATTTAAACCCTGGAATATTTTCCTTCTTGAAAAACTATCAAATTGAGTATCTGAGAAAGGCAGTATCACAGCTCACACTGTAACATGTTAGATAATGTCAGACTCTCTCTCTGATCATAAAAGGATGCCAACAAGTTCTCTCCTACTCACAACAGACTACGCAAAACCTGACAGAAAAGACAAACCGGAGTGAAACAAGCTCTCCTGTAAACAGCCAGGGGCTGAGCAGCTTGTTTCCAGGTAAGTAGAAAATGTCCTGCATTGCCTATCCCAACCTCAAAATGACAACTATGGTCCTTTTAGGCATAATTCACAGCAGAATTTCCCATTTCCTGATTAACTTGAGAAATGTCTTCAGAACCCTGTGCATACCTGAGTTCTCACCACTCCTTCTACTGACATTTTCCACAGCACTAATCCAGGATGCTCTCTCGTTGCTATGGTGGCCAAATCTGCCTTCCCTCCAAAAGAGGGCAGCCTCCCATTCTTCACTAATATCAATATGGAGGCCATGACACCTGCTACATTCTACAACTGACAGAAAATATGCAAAACACTGCCGTATTTTCAGAGATTTATTAGATTAGGGAATTACTTTAATTGACAAGCGAGTTCAGAAGAAGTTCGTGACTGATAATAGGATCATTCAGTTACTTAAATTTTTAAACAAGAATGGTAATAAATTTATAGAACTGATGGATTTGTTCTGCAAATCACTTAAATATTCACATCTGATAGCTTTTCTTTGTTGCAATTGGGTTGGCACAGTTATCTCCCTTGCCAGTTCAAGCCATCAGAGATGATGAGGGCTGTGGCAATGGAGCTTATGCAAGACAAGATACTGATAAACCATGTTTTGTTGAGAAAAGGAGACAAGAAAGAGACTTCTACAAATTCCTTCTATATTTTTGAGAACTGAGCATGGAAACTTTGAGTCATCCTGCTTCTTCCACAAGTTATAATAATACTGACTAATGATCTGATGGGGAGCACAGTGACTTGGTATGATAAACACTGTTCTGTGAACCACAAGGTCAGCAGTTCAAACCCACCAATTGCTCCTTGGGAGAAAGATGAGGCTTCCTGCTCCTGCAAAAATTTTCAGCCTAGGAAACCCTATGCAAAGTCTCTATTGGTTAGAACTGACTCCACGGCACTTAACAATAACAACAATGAGCTAATATTATTCTATCCAAGTTACAAATGGGGAAACCTGAGGCATAAAACAGTAAGAAAGCTTTCCAAATTCACAAATCTTAACCTAAATTGTCTGGCTAATAATCACTATGCTACACTGCTTTCAGAGAAGAATCCCTGGGCTTCAATTCGTGCCACCAGCAAGGTCATGGGTCTTTGCAACCATGGAAAGAAGATATAATGACTAGGACCCAGCTTATTCTGGACAATGAGGAAGTGAGAGAAGAGAGGACACAAAGCAATGTGGAAAGAAGACACAAAGAAAAGGTACATTGATACGTACATGGGGCTCATATGGCTGCAATTCTGACTTCCACTTCCCAGAATCAGTCTTAGGACCATGTGGAAAAACAGGACAATGGAGGATAAGGGTGGTCCAACAGAGAGAAAACAGACCCAGCCAAGCCAAGAGAAAGAACTATCAATGAGTTACACCAATCCCAGTAGCGCAGTAAGCATAATTTTTGCCAAATGACCTTGTTCCCTTATATGATGTTCATGAATATATTATAATATACAGCAAAGGGGATTTTGCAAATATGATTAAATTTACTAATCTGTGGAATTTTAAATTCAAAGATTATCCTGGATTATCAGAAGGAGCTCATATAATCACACGAACTCTTAAAAACACAATTTTCTTCTGGGTGAGAGTAGAAGAGAAAATCATACAAAGGTGGCAGCAGAGTATATGAAAAGAATATTCACCAGGAGAAGAAGGCAGATTGAAGGGAAGCCTGAGAGAGACTTGACCCACTTCCACAAAGGGGCGTCACATAAATGATCTATTGGCCTAACTGTGGAAAACTCCATGGTCTTATTGTCTGCTCTAACTTCAGGCTAAGCTCATTTCCTCTTCCTTTGACTGTGAGAAGGCAACCTACTGCCCATCACTGTCTCCTACCTAAGAATCATTCAAACTCCTGACTCTGAATTAAGAAGTGACCCAAATTGCAAGTAGCTGCACTATACAGAATCATTGTCATTAAAAATTTAAGTAACATATAATTCCATTTGGTCAGTTAAACACATCCCTTAAGTATTACTGAAACTGCAGAGGCTCAATTTATGGCAAACACATATCTTTTCACAAAACACTGAAAGAAACATTAATGAACAAAAATATCACTCTGAAAATTTGAAACAGCTATAGTAATACTTCAAATGCGAGCATAAACACCTACCAACAAATATATTAATAGCTTTAAGGAAACTCATATTAAATAAAAATCAAATTATTACATTCTCTTTAGAGTCTCTTTGTCCTTCTATCCAAATAAACAGAACTTTACCCAAAATGAATCTCTAAAGGAAGTTCCAAAGCCAAGAGATTTTCAGGGGAACAACTTGAAACTACTACTATAGAGCATTCCAATGCTGATTAAAAAGAAATAACTATGCTCAGATCTTACTGAAACAGGTTTCTTATACCTATCATACTAATAAAATTTAAATATAAGTGTCAACTTGATAGAAATTCACAACTCCTGGAGTATGCTAATAGGAAGTCACTAATTTGAAATTCAAAATGAAAGTTAGTATCTGTCAAATTCATTTCCTTGCTTTTCACTACATTCATAGTCTTGTCATTTAAATTCATTTTGAAACATAAATAGATACAACCTACTACTCCTATGACTTGTTTTCTGTTTGGGTATGAAATATGCGATATCTAGGTAGACAGTGCTCTGACTTTATAAACTGTGTTAGATATCCAATGTCCCAAATAACAACTTAGTTTTACTAAACAAAATATACTTGATCAAAGGTTAGCATTTTTCTACTTCCTTATTACAATTCAATAAAACTGAAATCCAGACATGTGCAGCAGATTCCACCAAAAGAATATCAGAACTATTACATGCTTCATATTTCAGATAACATACTTCAATGATTATCTTTATAGTTAAAGAGTAAACTAAAATGGCTAATAGGAACACAACTTATTTGAGGTGTAATTTATTCTCTGTCCTTCTAAATTGGTATAAATTAAACTCCCATATGCAAAGGATCCATAACTATGATCTTCACCAGAAAAGGACATGAAATGATATTACTGCTGATACAAGATGGATCTTGGCTACAAGCAGAAAATGCCAGAAAGATGTCTACCTGTGTTTTGTTGACAATGAAAAGGTATTGAATTGTGAAACCTGTACAAGGACCAAGTGGCAGATGTTCAAACAGAGCATAGAGATACTGCATGGTTTAAACTCAGGACAGGTATGTGCCAAGGTTGTATACTCTCACCATTCTTATTCAATGTGCTGAGCAAATAATCCTAAAAAATGGACGATATGAAGAATGCAGAGTTGAGATTGGAGAAAGGGTCACAACCTTTAGCGCTGAAAGGGAATAAGATGTCAAGCATTTACTGACGAAGATCAAAGACCACATCCTTTACTATGGATATAATAACAAAATTCCTCACAACTGGATCAATAAGGAACATCATGATAAATTGACAAATGGAGAAAGACTGAATGATTTCATTTTACTTGGATTCATGGGAGCAGCAGTAAGGGAATGAAAGAGAATATTGCATTGTACAAATCTACTATGAAAGACCACTTTAAAGTGTTAAAGAACAAATATATCACTTTGAAGACTAATCCAAGCCATGTTACTTTCAATTGCGACACTTGCATATGAAAGCTGGACAATGAATAAGGAAGACCAAAGACTTTATGTGTTTGAATTACGATGTTGGAGAATATTTAAATTACCATAAACTGTCAGAAGAATGAGCATATGTGTCTTAGAATAAGTAAAGCCAGAACGTTCCATAGAAGGGAAGATGGTGAAACTTCATCTCACATACTGTGGACATGCTATCAGTATAGAGCAATGCATGGAAAGGGACGTTATGCTTGGTAGAGGGTCAACAAAAAAGAGGGATTGACCTCAACAAGATGGATTTACCCAGTGGATGCAGCAATGAGTTCCAACATAGAAATGATTATAAGGAAGATTCAGGACCTGAAAGTGTTTAGTACTTAGGGTCACTATGAGTGACAGCTGACTTGACAACACATAACAACAACAATAATCTTCACCCAAAAAACCAACATTTCATATAAGGATTAAAGCAAAATAGCCAGTCCAGTCTCCATACCTCAAGTCTTGTTATATAACTCACTCCAAACTAATTGTATTAAATATTCCTTTTGTAGAGATCCAAGAGTCTTAAGCCCTTTCCACAAAGAAGTCTCTTTGCAAATAGCCCAAGTCTCTGTCTTATGGTGTTTCTTACTTTTTTATATAAGTTTTTATTGTGAACTGAATGATAGTTTACATGGCAGAACATGGCTTTACACCATCTTTTCATTACAGTGATTGCAATCTCCTCCATGTAACATTCAACAGAATTTTCTTCCATTCTCAGTTTTGTTTGTTTTCGGGGGTGGGGGTGGGGGAGAAGATGTGCACAGAAACCATCAGGAATATATAATAATTTAAACAACCAAAGGGCCCATTCTGCAAGCCTGCCTCTTGGCCGCCAGCACTAAGTCTCTCTCTTTCCATGAGTCCACAGAGTCCTCAGCTGCTCTCTCTCTCCATTTCCTCATCTCTGTCTCCTCTCTGGTGTCCAAGACTCTAACTGTGCTCTTCTCTATTGATGGTCCTAGAGTCCTCTATTTCTGTATTGTAAAATTAACTACTCCTCCATTTTGTTACAAAAATTCTACCTTTACAATTGTGTCAGTCACAATTACTCATGATAACAACTACTCACTGTTGAATCTTAAGAATCTTATCCCTATCTCTTTTCACCAGACACATCTAGACAAGATGAAAACTATTCAGTAGGGACTTCAACTTCCCCTGCATACTCTTAGATTAAACTCCTTCTTTAAAACTTGTAAACCAGTACTTCATGACTTTATCACTCCCTCATTTTAAGTAGCCAATGTCTAAATTGCCCTTCCCCATGTACTCTATATACAGAGGGGATAGGGTTGGAAGACTCCTTCCTTGTCAGTTGGTATTTTGAGTTACTACCTCCAGGAGTATAGGTCAAGTTCATCAAATTGTAGCATTTTACACTCCTTTCCTTTGTCAATTTTTTTTTTTTTTTAATCTTCCTCAAGTTGAGTTCTGATTATCAAGCCATTGAGGCTAAGTCACATGAGTACTAGATACAAGTTTGTGCATTCTTGTACATCTCCCCTCACTTTATATTATCTGGATACTTCACTCTCAGATCTAGCCCTCTGTGGCTATGTCCTTGTCCATAGACTCAGTAATACCCTGGTCTCACATTACTTAGCACTAACCAGCCTTTTCTCTTTCTCTCATCTGCAGGTCACAGAGAGCGTGGCTGAACTCAGCCCATGTCTTCTTTGCTGCCTTTCCCCCTCTTCCAATCACCAATGAACCAACATAGTGACCATCAAGCTTACATGCCTACTCATGTGTTCCATTTGAGTTTCAGTCTTGGAGGGAGGTTTTTTCTGAAGGGACTTGATTTCTTGCCTTGATGGTTCCCTGGTTAACAACTTGCTTATTCTTGTAGTAGCCAATCATTATGCCATTTTTGTTTTGGATTTTTCCTGTTGATCTTTCTTTGAAGATGTATCTTGTATTGCTCCAACTATTTCAGGCTGGTCTAGAGGTAATGTTCCCCCTGGAAAGTTCTGGATGGGGCTCAGATTTCCACTGAAGGTCCTATACACTGCAAAGACTCCGAAAGAGGCCTATTTCACTGGGCAAGTTCGAGAACATCTTTTAGGTATTTCCATCAGTTATAGGCTGAAGACGGGCTTACAAACTTTCTGTATTCATGTTTCCTGACATTCCTTTCTATTCCACTCAAGTATCTATTTTACAATAGTAGGCAAGGGAACCCAATATTCATAAGATAGTCAAGCATCTTAGTATTATTTCCCCTCTTCAGACTATGCCTCAATCCCTGTATCATAGAGCCCTGTTTTCCAAGGTTAAGTATACATCACTATTTACTTCAGTTTTGGTGTGGTGCTGTGGGTTAATGTGCCAGACTGCTAAGCCGTTTGAACTGCAAGGTCAAGCTAAAGTGCTGCTCCTCAGAAACCCTATATAGGGTCGCTATGGGTCCAAACCGACTCAATGGCACTTCACAACAACAAAGTGCCTCAGGGTTCCCCTATCTTCCTTGTTTTTCCACCCCTTTGCCCCTTCTTGTGTACTGCCCGCCCCAACACCATAACTATGTATTATGTGTCTGCCCACTACCATGTGCTCTATCGTTCCCTCCCTCCCTCCCCATCTCTCGTCCTATACATCCT